TTTTTTTTTTTGTTTGTTTTTTGTTACTACTCTTGGTCACCTGCGTAAGTACGACTAGAGTATTTTTGTGTGTTGTTATAGTTTTTTTTTTTACATACCAAAAGTCACATCTGGAGATCCACTCAAATATGGCGTCATTATTAATATTTAATATGTACAAATATTCATCATATTTTATCATATTCTTATGTCACTTTTGTTTTTTAATTTTATTTAATCTTTTCCGCAATTGTCACACTGTTAGACAAATTTTAAAAGTCAATATATCGTGCTGTACTCTACGGTCCTCCCCGCCCCCCACTTTGGTAACCACTGACCTAATGAAGGTCTTGCAGTAGTGTATCCCTTAAAAAGAAATTAAGAAGACATATATTTCTCCCAACATAGTTCTTCTAACATTAAAAAAAACTAAAAGCTCTAGAAAAATGTGGACTTTCACAAAATCACTGTTCTAGAGTCTAAAATAAACTGTTTTTATTTTGGAAGTATTTAAAGTTGAAAATGTGAACGAAGTTAAAGTCCAGTCAAGTACCATGACATATTCAATATTTCTGTTATTACATCAGATAGTACTACTGTAATACTGTTAATAATAGTAAGTACTACTAACCAACTTCAGTTGAAGTATTTGTCTCCGTTTGTCCTGTGTTCCATACACCGCACAACTCCAGGACGGGTGGGTGGGGGGTGGGGGCAGCCTCACACCTGAGCTGGGAACAGAACTTATTGTTATGGTGGTGGGAAACAAAAACAGGCTTCACCTACTGGTTGACATTGGTACTGAATAACTCCAAACATCCAAATGTGTGAGGTGAAGCTAAAAATAAGATTAAAATAAATAAATAACAGAGAAAGGACAGAAGACGACTGGGCTGAATAATGCAGCCCAGATTGGAAGCAGCCCATAATATTGGGCTGAAAGTTGAACAACTGATGATGTCACCGAGTCCTGTCTGTCCGTCACAGACGTACTGGAGACCACTGTTGTGTTGCAGCTCAGGTGGTTTAGAAATTTTAACTCTGTGTGTTTTTGTGATTTTCTGTTTTGGCAAAAAATAAAGTGTACACAAGAAAAACTTATGTCAGGAGTGGGATTTGAACCCACGCCTCCATCTGGAGACCAGAATTCCCTTTCACTAGGAAGGATGTTTGTCCTTGAGTCTGGCGCCTTAGACCGCTCGGCCATCCTGACCACAACATGTCCACGTCTGTTTGTTTTCTTCAATCTTTTTCTTATAACATGAGGTTTTTTTTGTCATTATAAAAATATTTGAAAAATATGTGATACATTTATTATTTGAAGTTTTTATCACAGTATTTTAAAATGACTAAATACCAGACGTTTAGACGCAGACAACTGGACCTTCGATGGTTCTGGGGAAAAAGGCATTTTTTTAAGTAAGAATTTTCTCTGAAAAACGGAGAGAACATTTTTAGAATTCTTTAATGTTGGAATGTGCAGAAAAAAGTCCTCTGGGAAAAAGGAAACATTTTTCCCGCCTGTTCTTTTGCTCTATTCACCTGTTCACTGTCATCACTTCAGCGACTTTTTATACCAAAAAACCTAAAAAGGACAAAATCAGCCCACGTTCAGACCATCGTGTGACTGAAGTCCTGAGGAGACACTTCAACATTTTCATGTCGACGAGAGTAAAACGTTGACCTGTATCACTGAGTTGATCCAGTTACTTCAAATATTACTGCACGACAACATGTGTTTTGGTGATTTTTCCCTCAGTCGACCTAAATTAAATATGTGCTGAAAAGAAAACAGCCACAACACATGTGTCAGGAGTGGGATTTGAACCCACGCCTCCATACGGAGACCAGAATTCCCTAGTACTCAGGAAGGAGCAGTGTCCTTGAGTCTGGCGCCTTGGACCGCTCGGCCATCCTGACGACGGAGACCGAGGGGACTCAGCAGAGTCTCTGTCTGTCAGCAGGACAGAGACGTAAAGCTCTGAGACGACCAGGAAAGTCATCAGCGGGGGCGGATGTTAGCGGCCCCGTCAGTGGCTAACTTCTAGCAGCTTCACCTCCACTCTCTGCAGCTAGTATAAACAAGGCGATGCTTGTGAACCACAGCTGAGCTGTCGTTTCACTCTATGCAGATGATGCCCTCATTTACAGTAAAGTTGGGGATTTTGCAGCGAGGTTTCTTTGATCTGTCTCAGACGCACTGGTGAAATCAAAGGAATAAAAACACCAAAGGTTTGAGTGGAGTTTCT